GACTGGCAACTCATGGGGCCCCCGGGCAATAGGGAATCATGGGGCCCCTGTGTCCTTGCCCAAACTCAAAAAAGCCTATGAAAAAGGTACCAGGGGCATCTCATGGGGCCCCCTACTGCCTGGGCCCTCGGGCAGTGCCCGAGTTTCCAAATGGTCAGTCCGCCCCTGGGTGGAACTTGATTTACTAAAACCAGAGGGTCCAAAATCTGGAGCAGCTCTGCATAGAAACGAATCAGCTTCCAGGTTTTATTGTCAAAGCTTAATTGAACAAGCTGAAGTTGGAAGCTGATTGGTTACCATGCACAACTGCACCAGATTCTGAGTGTACCAGTTTTAGCAAATCTACCCCATTGTTTCAACAGACAAGGGATGGGGGAGAGAAGGTGGGAGCAGGAGACAATACCTAGCCAATGCCATGCAGCATTGGCTTATAGGGAAGGGGGGTTCCTTTAATTACACTTTTGAAAGGACTGCAAACTAAGATTGATACAGCATTCTTCAGCATGTTTATCCTGTGTCCTGTGCCCTTTTTAAATGGTATATATTTTCTCTAAAGCACAATTGCATTCTTTTGTTAAAATAAAATTACAAAATTGCAAATAGCAAAGAAGATAAAATGTTTGATTTTTTTTTGTATTGCATGAGTTTTACAAACGTGCCTCATTGCTCTAAAATAGCAGTAAAATAGGCCATATGTGTAACAGGCCTCTATGCTAATCTAGAGATATAATTCAGTCTTACTTCCTTATTTGGAGTGTTCCATTCACATAATGTGTATTTCTCAGCCAAATAGCTTGTTTCCATCTTTTGTAGGATTTTCATAAACAGCAACATGGTCTGCTTCTAGTTAAAAAGCCATTTAATGTGAATAACTAAAGACAATAAAATCAGAATTACTCTGACCATGCCACAAATAAAACATAAATAGTGTAATGAAACTTTAAACAATGTTTTCACACTCAACTCTAACATAAATGCAGAATATGCTAAAAAAAAGTATATGTGCTCTTAGCGGCTATGAATATTCCACTGTATTCACTGTGAGGCAAAGAAAAAAAGGATTGTGGGTAAATAGTGCCATAGTTCCCTGTTCTACTGGAATGGGAAAAAATATATCATCATGAAGGTTTAAATAAATACAACAATTTTAATGGCTAGTTATTATGTTGTTATTATTATTATTAAAAACCACAGTCAAAAAGCATATTGATCCAGGTACAGTGGTTAACCTACACATGTACCGCCAGTCAGGGGGCTGCTGTTAGAAATCAGAGGGCCTCCTGACAGCTCCACCCCCCCAAAAAAAATCTCAAATTATATTTTCGCTAAAATGCCCCGGCCGTGATGCATGGCAAAAATTATACCCTCACAGGACAAGACCCCTTCAAGTGAATAGCTCCCTGTAACTGCATGTAAAGAACATGGTTGTGGTGTGTTAGTGCTGGGTTAAAGCATATTGCCTCCTCGCCGCCTGTCAAATGCTCTCTGAAGAGCAATCCAAATGCTGACTGTTATTCATAGAGCAAAGCACATGTGATCAAGCCCTTCATTTTCTTTTTAAATAATTAAGACTGGAACCGAGGACATAGAATCATCAGTCCCTTTTTCTACAGCCTCAGCTGCACTAGACAGTGAATGAATGGGAAGTGTTCTGTGCTGACTGTCTCCCTGTTCATTCACAAAGTGAAGCCTAGTAAACACAGTTTACTATGCTACACAGTGAGTGATCTGTACCAACCATGTGCTGTAATTATTCAGGAAGGGAAGGGGCTGGTAAATAACATATTTACCGCCCCACTATGCTCGCCGTCCTGAAACAATCTCCCTGTGTACTCTCAGCAGCTACTGATAGGATTGGAGGGGAGTTCGCAGAGCTGTGGGGGATGGGGGCTCAAACAATGAATGGAAGGAAGCACAGATACTATAACCTGTCCTCCTGCAGCTCAGCCAGAGGGAGAAAGCTGGCAGAACTGCAGAGGGATCCACAAGAGTCACAAGGCAGTATAGCCAGCCCTCATGCTTGACAGGTGCCCAGGCCCCCCTTTGGAATTGATGGGGCCCTGGCCTAGTACAGGAGGGCCAGCTGTACTGCCTTATCAGCAGCCCTGGTGCCAGTGGAAGATATGGTCTAGAGGCACATAGTCTAAGAAGAGTTGTGTGCACACAGCTGCAAATGTCTGGTTTTTACCTTGCCCTCCTCCATTTTCAACCAACTGATGATCAGAGAAGTGGCCAGGAGAAGCACAAAATCTTACAGGCTGTACAAAAAGTTCTTTCTTTAGTCAATAAATACTGAGCAGATAACTCTTACTAAGCAAGAACTTAGTAAGATATACTATGTTGGCTCCAGTTTCTTCGCTCCTGTGCTTTAAAAGTATTCTTCACAGTCCCGGACCTTTGGAAATAGTGCATTGTTTACATTCAGTTTATCTGAAGTGTGCATAGTACATGTCTGCAGACCAGCTTTAACCACCATGGAATGTATTTGTTCCTCATACCTATTTGATGCATTGTCTTTAATGCGAGGAGCTATAAACATTATATTCTGGAGAAAGAAATTACTAACTCTTAGAAGAAGGCAGCCCCTGAATAAATGTAGTTATTCCCTGCTCATTCCCTTCTTCTATGTGATCCCACCTAGCCAATTGTAAAAACCAGAATACCTTCCTTGTTATCAGTTCTTGTTTGCAGATATATGTCAGTGCAGTGCAGACAGGTTAAAGCAGTGTTTTTTCATGGCATGTGATAACAGTTCTCAAACCATAAGCTAAAGACGTAGTAAACTTACCTTTAAAAACAAAAAATCTTCTCCTTGCAAGGTAATGTCATAATGTGCTAGTATGCACTGCACTAGCACAATATGAAAGACTTCCTTTAGAACAAAGCCCTCCAGTGGCGTGCTGTTACCGCTCACAGGGCTTCCATCTTTTCTTTAATTTCCAGGTTCGCAGGCTATGGCCGCTTGATTGGCCGAGCCGCGATGACGTCACTCCCATGCATGTGTGCAGGAGTCTTAGCTGTGTCACAGAGCTCTGAAGGAGCGGTACAGGTATGCCGTTCCTTCAGAGCGCATGTGCCGGTGACGTCACTAGCTGCAGGGACACTAAATATCTCCTAAGCGGTGCATGTTTAGGAGATATTCCTTGTACCTACAGGTAGGCCTTATTATAAGCTGTAGGTACAAGTGTCCAGTGAGAGTTTACTCCCACTTTAAGAAAAGTCAAAAGTATGATATTATACAGTATTTGCTCTATCTACAATGGATATACTGTTGTTTTGAACCCCTTTTAAAAGTAGTTTGTGGGATAAATATGATTTCTAAGAACCTGGGGACCCCCAGCAATTTATTTTGGGACCCTGCTTGAGGTCCCAGGCCTTATGACTAGGTTCTAGTCCATCCAACAGATATGTTTTAAAAGTATATGGAGAGTATCCTAAGGGCAAGTAAGAACTCATAGGTCACTATACTAGAGGTTGTTGATTTCTTATATTATCAGGCTGTCACGAGTGAACCTCTGTTATATTCTAGTATGACTGCACTGAAATGCAGTTATTACTTCCCAAACAATAAAAAATGGTATGTGTCTGTCTAAGAAACACTAAGGGAATATGAAACAATATAAGCATAATATGTGACTTATTAAATGTAACATTATATGACACATGTAGGTACTAGTCCTGTGTATCTATCAATGACATAATCAGTGTGTGTAACATCTGACAGACAATAAGCAGTGTTCCATATGAATGATATATTTCAGGACAGAGCTACATTCTGGCAAACACTTCTTCCAGTCCTCTACTGGTACAGCAGGAATTCATTAAATAGCTGGTTCTGAGCCAGTGCAGATAATTCCCAGTCAGTGTTGGCCCTTCTCAGCAGGTAATATTTTCTGGTGAGGCAGTAATCGGAGGAGGCCAATCAATTTTTTGCTGTAGATGCCTGCAGCTAAATGATTCCTTAATTTGGACCAGATCTGACAAGTCCTACTTAGCAAACAGCACAGTCTCCAAAGAAAGATGGGGACTTTTATTCCCCTGTGTAGTTTTAGTAACTGATTCACTAGCATACACAACCCTTCCTTTCTTAGAAAGTTTTCTTCAGTTTGCAAATGAAGAATAGTGTAGATCAATGAGACAGTAGCTTGGTGGGGATTCAGAAATCTCTGTAGGAAACAAGTTCTTTTTAATGGTCAGCACGTTTCATACTGATATTTCAATTTTCGCTTCATGCTGCAGAGTTAAATCCCCTACCAGTTTCATATATCTCTTAGGGACTCCGGAGGTGAGATCTCAGGATCCAAATCTGTACAGCTGCCATAGTGAGTCACTCTTCTTCCTGCTGGATTTTTAATTTACTTTATGATGAAAGATTGCAAAAGGAAACGTGGGCATAACAAGGATGCTCCTGTTGTAGCAAGAAGAGCAAGATTCATAGATGATAGAGAACAGAAATGAGAATTATGGTAGAAACATTTTACTGCTGGAGCAGTCAATGGCTGACTCAGTCTACCAGCTGTAATTCAGATTTAACTTTTAGGAGGACTTTCCCTAAAAATTGCAAAGTTGCTTTAAATAACGGAATAGGATATATCAATGAGATTTTGAAAAGTTATATAAGGTAAATGAATATATATCTGATAATGCTTACAGGCAGCATAATGTTTCAGTAGCTGTTCCTGTTAAATATTACTAATCCAAAAAAAAATAAAAAATTTTTTGTATTAAAAGGCCAATGTTTTGAAAAAAAAAACAAACAAACCAAATGGTTATCCAGTAGCCTCGGGGCCAAAAGTTAAATAGGGACTTTCCCAAGGCTACCCATAAATGGACAATTTTTTAGATTATCTCACAATAATCATCATTGGTAAGGGCCAGAATACTAAATCTAATGAGCCAAAGCAACAGGTTTGTGTTAAGATTCCTACCTTATGCAACACATACTCATATTTCCCCTGCTGCTCTATACAGCTAGCAGGAGCCAAGAACCTGCTAGGTACTTCAAAGTATGGATGAGCAAGTGACTCACTCCATGTGACAGTGTTTGGTCAATCAGCAAGCACCAGCACTACCTTGTGTAAGTAATGACTCAAACAACTTGTAGCTTGCATAGGGCAGCTTCCCCTGCTTCTCCACACATATGAAAACACATGACAAAATAAAAATGAACTATATAACTTGAACATACATATCGCATAAGCTAAATCCAGTGATTTACTCTGTGTGTACATCAGAATTGTTTTAGGCCCAGTGTGTAAACCCCAACAATTGACTAGAACAACAGCAACCAGACTTCACAGGACCTCTGACCCCAGGTATTCACGAAATGTCAATCAGAGTATGTAAAGCTAAATAAAAGGGGAAATATTTAATAAAAATGCCTGTGAACGTAAATTATTTGAAGACTAGTTATTCATATTCTTACATGACCCTCCCCAAGGCTGGTTCCTTTACTTTACTATAACATCAAATCATATAAATAACTGGAAAATGTAGGATTGATTTGTAAGACTACTGATTGCAAAGAAGGTATTAGAATTTTTTTTCCCTGAGCTAACATTGTTTGAATTGAATTTGTAACATGCCTGTCTGCGTGGCTGATTAGTAGATAGGACATACTGTTAAAATAAAATGTGTAACCCAGCATCTAGTGCCACGCAGCTGTGAACATCTGGATACGGTTTGATAATTCCTTGTCTATAATGATGAATGTGACCACAAAGCTGGCTCAGCAGGTACAAAGAATCACACTATACTTATTTTTTTTCAAGCTAAAAAAAGCTGCATTCAACAACTTGTCATATTATAACTCTCACTGGGTGCAAGCAATCTTTCAAGTGTGTGTGTTAAGTCACTATCTGCTAGAAAAGAAGGGTGGCACATCTCCAGGAATAATTTTATGTACGTTTTATTAAGCCTTACATGTGATTTTGGTATTTTTTTTCTACATCCTAAAGTGCCACAATTTTACATTATACAAAAATTAGCTCATACAGAATTATGTAACAATTTTATTACTTAGTAATAAAAAACAACTTGTTACAAGATAATGGTGTTGATTTACTAAAACTGGAGAGTGCAAAATCTGGTGCAGCTGTGCATAGAAACCAATCAGCTTCCAGTTTTTCAGTTTTTGTCAAAGCTTAATTGAACAAGCTGAAGTTAATAGCTGATTGGCTGCTATGCACAGCTGCACCAGATTTTGCACTTTTAGTAAATCAACCCCAACACATGCTTACATCGCATTCAACCTAATAGCTTTAACTTTTGGTTATCAGCTTCAGAATTATCCAAAGTGGATCAAGGAGGAAGCATTGTTGGGTTGCAGTGACTGTCATAGGTGCCATTGATTCCTTTATTATGTGCATTTTTGATAATTCCGGAGAGATTTGCTTAGATGCACTTTACTAGGTATAAACTGACATGGTTTTGGATTTTGGATATGTAATCTAATTTGGGCATTGGGCTGCACAGTAGCTCAGCAGTTAGTACTTCCTACTGATAGCAAAAGGGTCATTGGTTTGAATCCCAACCACGTCACTACCTGGCTGGAGTTTGCACGTTCTCCTTATGCCTGTGTGAGTTTCCTCCTACACTCCAAAGACATGCTGGAAGGTTAATTGTCTCCTGCCTAAGTTGGCCCTAGTCACTAGGACCTAGTGTGTATGTGAGTTAGGCCCTAGTATGAATGTAAGTTAGTGACCTTAGATTGTAAGCTACTTAAGAGCAGGGACTGATGTGAATGTACAGTACATACAGTATATGTAAATTGTCAGTGCTATATATACCTGTAATAAAGTAATTTGGGCCTTTTGGATTTAACCAGGGAGTGGCAATAGTGCTTGCAGCCACTGGGAAATTGTTGGAAATTTTCTCTTTAAGTAGATCCTCCTTAGTCTCCATGTTATGGACCATTCAAAGATGTGAAGGATTCCCCTGATGATGTCTTCCTGATGACGAAATGCATTGGGTGGAGCTGGGGAGTGTGACGTCGCCGTGTTCTGGAGGGACGGCAGCCATGTTTTCGGTTTGAAAAATTTCACATTCAATGCTTTATTAAATTGGTCAAAATTTACTGAATTTCTACACTATGAATTGCTTTTGTTTTATATCCCTTATTTGATTATTGGATGGGAGTTTTTTCTGCTTTTGAAAATCTTTAAAGAGGAGGATTATTCATCATCTTAAAGGAGGATTTCTAGTGAAAATTACTTGCTTCAGTGATTTCCTATTTACTGCATATATTGACCGATTACGGTCTGAATGTCCAGTAAGGGCTTATCTATTTGGGTGTTTTGGTAAAGGTAGATGACGCCAGAATCTTCTTCTGCAACCTGTCTCATTTACTTGAGAATTATTTGGACTTTTACTTTGGACTGTTATGTTGATTTTTTATTAGCACTGCATTTTTTAATTTATCTTTATATTTGCCTTTAGTGTGCAAGCTGCTTTTCCCTATTAATTTGCATTCTTGAATTCAGATTTTAGTTACATCTATTGCCTGACATACTTAGACAGACATTCAGAAACTAGCCTGTCCTCAAAAATGTCATTACTTTTTATATTGGCAAATTTCACTTAACTTCCCTTTAATATTTTCCTGTCCTTCAAATGATATAGTAGGATAGCAGTGATAAATGGGCATGGCATAAACAAGTAGGGATAGTTTGAAAAAGTGTGGATGGCATGGATAAGTGAGGAAGACATGGTTGGATGCCTTTTATCATGGAACACATGATGTCTTCATCTCTTATATAACCTCAGCAGATTTAATAGTCACCTTGTTTTCAATCACCTAAAGTGGTAATAAACCCAAAAACTAAAGCCCGCTGTTGGCTGACGATGCAGAGCCAGTCCAGGCTGGGGAAAGATCACGAACATATGGTCGGGATCCACTCAGAAACCTGGACCAATACCTGGCTCAGCCTCTCAACGATCCACTGAGAGCCTGAGTCAGCCGCTCCCACCTCCTCCACAGCAGAGAGTCACCACTCTCTGCTCAGAGCGGTGGAGAACTTAGCAATCAGCGGTCATGTGATTGCTCAGTTCTCACCCTTGGAGCCATTGGGGGACAGATGCAGCAACAGATCGATGCTGCATCCACCTAGGTAAGTATGATTTAAAAAAAACAAAAAACATACGTCTCTTTTAATATTCATGATAATAGATTGACAGAAAAAAAAATTAAGTTGCATGCTGCCATAAACATGACTTGTATGGCCTGCAAAATAAAGTGTGTTTCACTGACAAAAAAAAAATACAGTTCCAGTTCCTTAATTTGTCATTTTATTTCAATAAAGTGTGGTGCTTGAAGGCACATCAAGGCTTTTTTATGTTCACAATTTATACACTTCAAGCAAATCAAGTAAATAACACTGTAAACATTTTAGATTACCTTTATTGTAATTATTGTCTTTGGATACAGTAAACCTTTTCCACTGTTTATAGAAGTTGGAATTGGGATTTAACTGAAAAAAAATTGAGAATGCCTGATTAAAAACATAAACTGTCATGTCAAGAGAGGTAGGAAAGGTTTGTTATTACTGCTACTAAAAGTTTGTTTATTCCTTGAAATGTAGATAATTTGGAAAGACAGGAGATATTTACCCAATAGAACATTTAGCTTATAAACAAAGTATAAGAGGAATACTGTAATCTCTTTTTAAAGAAGTCTTTTTGTCCAAACTTTATTTATTTATAAAGCATTTTAATTCTGTTATTCTATGTTTTTTCCATAGGGAAAATTGACTACTGGAAAGTGAAAGGACCAAAGATTGTGCATGACTAATTGATACCATTCTTCACACTTCTGCTTTTGACTCTATCCCCCCCCCCCCCCCCCATTCATAGATGTGGTGTTTAAGAACAGCATGACATGTGAGGGGGATCAATACAATCTGTCCAGAGTATTATGGCTGTGCACTGAAAGATGATTTGAACAGTTATGATGCTTTCATTGCTGGCCTCCTTCTGAAAAAGCTAGTTTCCCGGTGCCTGTGGTCTCAATAGTTTTCAAGTCTCTTGACCAAATACACATATGAAGTAAGCAAAGTGAGAGGAAAGCCAGGATTCCTGAGCTTGTTCCATGTCAGTGACTCAAAGTATTAAAGCCTATTGACCAGCATGGCAACATATTTATATTCTCAATACAAGTTTTTTTAACGCTTGGTTCCATTCTCCATTTCACTTATCAGAAGGTAGAATTTACCGACTAAGCCAGCAGCAGCATAAGATCAACATAACAAAGTATTACAAGCTATCTATAGCTCCTTAGATAACTGTCCAATGGGAAACCCATATGCCCAGTTGCTAATAGCTCTCCAAAACATGAGGACGTTTTAATAAAAATATCATTGTGTTTATGTCTTGTAGATTTTTACAAAAGAGGGTTTCTTGAAAATAATCATACAAATAGTCATTTACTTTAGGTAGAAAAATATGGTGCCTACTAACATACATGACATCTTACAAGCCAAAGCAATTTAAAGTATCTGCTATCACCATTTTTAAGATTGGGGAACATTACATGTATCAGATTACATATATAACATGACAACATAAAACATCTGTACTGCAAAACCTTGGCAAGCGACATTAATTTGTAAGTTATTTGTTGTAACACATCCAAAACACACTCTTTTGATAGTTACATGGGACTTTCAGCAACATAAATTTATGGTTAACAGATACTGGTATACCATAAAATTAAAGCTCAACTCCAACCTAAACTTTGTATTTTGTTCTGGTTAGAGCAGGAAAGGGTTAGAACCTCTGCCAGGTTTTCTCTATAATCAATTGAGGGTTTTAGTACTGCCTACAGGAGAAAGGGACACTAGACACATAGAAATTGAAGTTCAGTCCCCTAGAAGCTTTAACCCCTCTAACTTTCAGTTTCACTTAGCACCATCAGAAGAATGAATGAATCCTTCCTTTCTGCTGACTTTTTTTCCTCATGATTTGGAAGATTTTTCTGCTTTTAAAAGGTACTGCTAAACTCATGCCAGATATTGTAAATCCCAAAAACCTCTTCAGTTAGTCAATGATCAAACGTTTTACAGTTCATTATACTGGTGT